TATAGGTGCTGTCACACGTGCTCTAGTCTAGGCTCTAGCCCTTCCCCCTACCCCGGCCTCTGGTTGCATAGAAAATTCTTTGGTTGAAAAAATTATCACGACTCAAATCTCACCAAGTCATGATAGCAACCTAATCCAACTCGCTAGGTAATACAACATATAACACAACTCGAACTGAAGATTATCAAATTAATAATAAAATAAGAACGCAAAAATTAATACAACTATCACAAGAACTAGTAATACAAGTTATGAGCAACTAAGATTAGGATCACAATGTTAATATGAAAAAAATATATCATTTGTTTGGAATATACATGAACAGAATTACAAGTCCTAAGCTACCATGAACAAAATGATAGCTTGCAACTGGAATGCTAATAGATCGATACTAGGTCGGTAATGGGTTGGTAAGAGGCCTACTCGGCCCATAATATAGCCCTACCTTAGTCTCGTACTCCTACTAAGAGTGCGAAACTAAAGCAACATGAAAAATTAGCAAAATAATTAAAATATTATGTGAAAAAGGGAACACATTTAACTATTGCGCATGGCTAATCATGCGTATGTAAGCTATGAAGTGACGATTCGGTCAACAATCGTTTGGCCAAGGTTGCTGCTAGTTGTTGACTTCCGTATCGCTTGCCAAGGTATCAACTTGCGTTGTTTGTATTAGGGCGGATCTACCTTATGAGGTAGGCGTGCCACACCACCCGCTCACTTCGTTAAAATTCTTAGTATGTATATGAGATAGTTGTGAAAAAATAAATATATTATTAGAGTGACACTCAGAAATCATGAAGTAGGCAGATGTGCCACTGGTTTAGCGTCAAGTCTAAATGCTTTTGTTGGCCTCACGAATGCGAGTTCGAATCCTTGATGTAGCACATCTTCTTTGTCTTTTTTTTCTTTTCGTTTTGTTCTACTTTGTTAAGATAAAGATTTCCTTTATTCTCAGTTGGGCTCTAGGGCCTCACCTCTTTTTTCTTTCTTTTTTTTCCCTTCATTTTCTCGACCTCGGCTCTTTTTCCTTTTTTTCTTTGTTTTCTTTTCCTCCCTTTCTTCCTTTTATTTGCTAAGTCTCTCTCTTCTTCTTCTTCTTCTTTTTCTTCTTCTTCTTCTTTATTTTTCAAACTTTTGTATACTAGTCCTCATTTGTTTCTATCATTATACCTTACTTCATGAGCAATTTTTTTCCTATAGTTAATTTGAATGGGTTTTACTTAACATATAGTTTCTCTTTTAAATGATACGATATTAATATATATATTGAAGTGTAATTTGCATAACATCTTCTACTAAGTTTTGAAAAAGAAAAAATTAAATAGCTTGGTCAATAGTCGTTTAGAGTTGATTATTATAACGTCGACGATTTACTTTGAAAATAATTATCATATAACACGACAATTAAGATGAAAATATTAACCCAAGAACAATAAAGGTAAATTAATTTAGTGAAACGAAGAATATGTAGTAATTAAGCTATTCTTTTAAATAAATTTTTTATCAGAGGCGTTCTTTCGTGAAATCTTATTTTTCTTTTGCCATTTTTTTGGAATATATTTAAATTAAGCGTAAAAATTGAAGTTATTTATTTTGTGAATTAAAGATATATTCTAACTAACCAAAAACTAACCAAATCGATACATCCTTCATATTCGGTCTTTGTAGATAGTAGTAGCTATACTGTATAAATAAAGTAGTGACACTCACAACCTTCGAATCTTGGGTGCGCCTCTCATCTCTATGCATTTTTTTCATTCTAAAACCATAATTCAGCCTTTTACCACATGTAAAGGAAAAGAATAAAGTTGTTAATTACTTCTACCAATCCTTCATACTTCCACCAAGCTCGTAATTATCACTAACATCATATTTTTACTACAAGATAAAGTTAGAAACTTTATGAATCACGATAATATAATAATTTGAAGTGCGGTATTTGTCGAGAAATATTATCTCAAAAACGTTACGAATAGAGATTTTTTGCCTTTATAACCTCTGAGGAGACAATATTGAGTTATTTAAGCAACTAGTTGTTTAAACAATTAACTGAGTCATTTAAGCAAGTTTAGTAGTTATTTAAAAAACTGATTGAATTGCTTAAAATTAATTAAATTACTTAAACAATTAGTTGAGTTTTTGAAGCAACTTTAGTAGGTGTTTAAGCATCTGTTTGAGTTTTAACCTAATATAAATATCATTAATAGAAATTCTTGACGTTTTCTCGATATAGTTTCTCGACCAAACTCTTTTTCGAATAATTTTTTATATGAAATCACAACGCTAGAATCTTGGAAATATAAACGGCCAGCAGTGACAAAGCATGTGTTGTATCATAGGGGTAGCCTAACATCAATAAAATGGGTGACAATCTGGATTTTAGGGTATAAATCACACTTGAGACAAAATATATAGATCTAATTTGTAATGGGGATAGTTACGAATAATTTAGTTGGTGGGAGTTAGCAGTACATAATAGAATAATCAAAGTGCACATAATCAAGATTATTAAAAAAGAGCTAAATTCATAAAAATAAAAATAAAAAGAAGTAAATAGTCTAGCTAACATAGTCCAAACTAGTTTCTTAATACTTCAACTTTAGCGAAATTCAGAAAAACACTGTAGCTCAACTGAATGATTTAATAACTCATTCATTCAATTTTTTATTGGTATATATAATTCATCCATTATGCAAAGCAGACAAACATAGAAAGTTGGTTCACCTTGGCAGCGACGCGGAAGTCAACAACTTGCCACAACCTCAGCCAAACGGTTGTTAACGGAAGTCATCACTCCAAGCTCACATAGTGCATAATTAGCATGCATCATAGTTAGATATGTTCTCTTTTTAAATGTGATCCCCATACGGAGGACGGGCTAATGAGGGCGGATCAAGTCGGACTGACAGTCTTCTGGGCTGACAAACTTCTGAAAAAAAGGTGCACATGTCACCTTAGGCGAATTCTACATCGGAATGAGAGAGAAAGTGAATAGCTTTATAACGCATGACACAAGTTCACATAGTACGCGCGCTTTTGGGGGTCAAGGTAGCATATCCCAGAAAGATAAATCTGTGGGGGCCTAGACCCAAAGCGGATAACACGTGCCATGGCTTGGGTCATGAAAAATATGATATCAGAGCTGAATCTCCCTCAACATGTTGGTGGGGCGAACCTCAGTGAGGACGTTGAGTCCCAAGGAGGGGGTGAATGTGATGTTCCTGACGGAGGACTGATAAGGGCGGGTCAAGCAGGACTTGCAGGCTTCTAGGCTGGCAAGCTTTTGAAGAAGGGGTGCACATATCACCTTAGGCGAATCCCACATCATAATGAGAGAAGAATGTGAAGAGCTTTATAAGGCATGACACAAGTTCACGTGGTACACGCACTTTTGGAGATCGAGGTGGCGTAGCCCAGAAAGATAAATTTGTGCGGGTCTAGGCCCAAAGCAGACAATACGTGCCATGTGCTTGGATCGTGATCGACAAGTTCGTAAGTTGAGAACCAAAGAGGTAGCCTCCATAAAAATGTTATGGAAAAAAAAATCGAGAAGAAAAGACGTGGGAGGCAGAGGAAGCAACGAGGAAGAAGTATCCTCACTTATTTTAGACCGTAGATGATGGTCAGAGCTGAGAGAAATGTTACAAGGTGAGTTCTAACATGGTTATGATTATATTGATTTGTTGATGGTCATGTGGGGCCAATGTTATATTATACTCGTATGATTTGGCCATGTGGCATACAGTATATTTTTTGAGCTACGTGCAAGTTTGGTATAGTTAGAGCTTCTATAAAAAAATTCAATAGTTTATAATAGTTAACTCCCTCGTACACACCTTTACATTCGAGGACGGATGTTCTCGGGGGGAGGGGGGAGGGGCGAGGAAGAGGGTGAATGCGATGCCCATGACAGAAGGCGAGTTAATGAGGGCGGGTCAAGTAGGACCTTGCAGGCTGGCGAGGTTCTGAAGAATGGTTGCACATGTCACCTTAGGCGAATCGCACATGAGAATAGAAGAGAAAAGTAAAACTTTTTATAAGGCATGACACAAGTTCACATGGTACGCACGCTTTTGGGGCTTGAGGTAGCGTACCCTGAAAGACAAATTCGTACGGGCCTAGGCCTAAAGTGGACAATATGTGCCATGAGCTTGGTTAATGACAAATATGGTATCAAAGTCGAATCTCTCTCAGTACGGTATGGGGCAAACCTTAGCGGCCAACTAAGTTTAGGCGAATCCCACATCTTTGATAAGGTAGTGGCGCAAACCTAAGCGAGGATGACGAGTCCCAAGGGTGGGGTGGGGGGTTGAATTTGATGCCCATGAAAGAGAGCGAGTTGATTAGGGCAGGTCATGCAGGACTGTCAGGCTTCTAGGCTGGCGAGCTTCTGAAAAAGGGTGCACATGTCACCTTAGGCGAATCCCACATCGGAATGGCAGAAGAAACTAAAGAACTTTATAAGGCATGACACAAGTTCACATGGTAAGCGCGCTTTTAGGGCTCGATGGAGTAGCCTGAAATAAAGATCCATGCGGGCCTAAGCCTAGAGCGATAATACATGCCATGGGCTTGGTTCATAACAAATATGGTATCGGAGTCGAATCTCCCTCAGTACAGTAATGAAAAAAATCTAAGAGCTTTATAAGGCATTACACAAGTTCACATGATATGTGTACTTTTGAAGCTCGATATGGCATAGCCCGAAAGATAAATCTGTGTAAACCCAGGTCTAAAACGGATATTACATGCCATGAGATTGTTTCATTACTAGTAATTCACATAGTATTTTGGTTCTTTTGCTAATTTTTCATGTTACTTTAGTTTCGGACTCTACCTTTTCCCTCCTTTGCTCCAAAAGGGAAAAGACAAGAAAAGGAAATTCAAAATGGAGGGAGCAATGCAAATATTTTTGAAATGACGCGCCATGCTGAGCTGTTATCTATAACAGATGCAGGCGTGCTATTTAACCATTCGCCGATCACTGTTCCCATCGTTCCCTCTTCTTTGGTCCAAGACAAGACAAAAAAAAAAAACCCTCTTTCTCTCTCACACCCCATCCCATACTTCACTCAGTCACACAAAAAGGGTAAGACCCAAAACCGCTAACAATGGTGAAGGCGAGAGGGGCAGCCAAAGAAGTAGAAGAACAAGGTTCCAACAACGTCAATGATGGAGCAGCAGAGTATGAGAAGCAAAGAGCGGAGAGAATCAGAGAGAACAAGGAGAGAATGCAGAAACTGGGCATTCTCGAACTTTCCAAGAAGATCAACACTGCAAATGCCCCTTTAAAGAAACCACCACCGAAACTCACTCCCCGAAGCAACTGTCAGCCATTGTCACCTGACCCACCTCGCCGCTCTTTTAGGTTACATCCAATTAAAACTTTCTTTCTCCCCAAAACTAATTAAATCTGTTGCTTTGCATTTCGTTGTTTCTATGTCTATCTGGACTTTATTCTATGGCGTTTTTCTCTACTTAGCCTTTTACATTTTACATCACCATTTTCGGGGTTTTCCGTTCTTCTTTATGATTCTCCAAAAAGTAGGAGAGATAAGAATGTTCTGGTTCCTATTGTGTTATGTTGGACATAATTAGGGGGGAGCTAGAGTGCCAGGTGCGTGTTCAGCCAACCCCGTATCTTGTTGTATTTGTCTTAAAAATCCATTAAATATATGTAAGTTATTAATTTAAAACCCATAAGCTTCCTAGTTCCACTTCTGGACATCAATTCTTTTTAATAAGAAAAGTTATGCAGAAAAAATGTTTGTTTATAGATATTATGGTATTTGACTCTGAATAAAAGTAGATAACAAATCTTACCTCCACAAGGTGAGAAATGTGTTACGAACATAGATGCTGGTGACAGTTTGGAGTATCAAAAGTTGGTGACAATTTTTATGTGTTGGTGAAAAGAAACTGGTTGAAAAATGTGTACCTTTTGCCATTTTCTTGCGGTTGAAAACAGCTTTAACCAACCAACTGGTGAAAAATAATTATGCCACACTAAACACAGCTTAAGGAATAAGGTTTTGCTAATGAGACCTGATTAAAGTGGAGATATTAGTTTGTGTTCAATATCTCATTTGGTGTTTTCTTGTGTTAGAGGGTGTTGATTTTCCATCCAGTAGAACCTTTCTTGGTCTCTCTTTTCCCAATCCTGAAACAATATTGTTTATTGAATGATGTTTAAATGTTTTTAGGTTGAAGGATAAGGCTCCAGTTAGTTACAATGAACATAGGATTCCCAAGACAGAGAAGACGTCAACAGAGGATGTGGAGATTAACATAGCAGAAGGTGAAAACCCCGAATTCTACACAGAGGAACAAGAAAAGCTTTTAGGTGATTGCCAGAATGCGTGGACTCTTTATGTTGACGGCTATGATGAAGATGGCCAGCGCATATATGATCCTGGTAATGGCAAGTCATGCCATCAGTGCAGGTCTAAACATTTGTTCTCACTATCTGTTTTTTGTTGCTTTTTTGCTTATTTCTTTCCAAAGGTACTGTTCTATGCTATCTATAGAAAAAATTTGCATCTTTGATGTATTTGAAGGAGTGATACGATTTTGCAGAAGATAATTCGAAGTTTGAATTAGTGCGTGAACGAATATAAAAGCGTGGAAATAGTGCTTCAGGAAAAAAAAGAAGAGTTAGCATCTTATTGCTATGTTTGGTTTGTTTAGTACTCCTTATCTTTGTTCTTGTAAAAGAATTTGAACACTGATAATTAAATGCCTTTTCAACTCCTAAAAGTGGTATTTCATAGTATGTTAAATTTGAATTATGAACTTAAGTCTTGATATGAAACATCACGATTCTTATATAAGGCTGAGAATTTATTTATATTCATATGGGCGATAACCTAAGTCAGCAGTCTTCATCCTTCAGTGATATTCTTAAAGCATCTTGTTGCATGTGATATTTAAACCAATAGAAAGAAGTTTGCATCTTAACTTTAGAAATGTAATTGGCATTTAGTGGTATTTTTTTGTATGGCGCAACGTGCTAGTCTTGAAAATTGCATCTGATGGTGTATCTTTTAAATAGTTCTATAAGATGTTCTCGTATGCTTCCAAAAGTAAATCATTGTCTGCTGACAATCATAAGAGCCAACATTGTATGAGAAGCTGAAAACATTTAGGATGGAGATTTTATTCAACTAATGTCTAATAGTAAGTTCGTGAAAGTTTTCCAGGTAAAAGTTGATCACCGGATAACTCTTGATATGAATCTCAATTCAAAGATGACCAAACCTGTCTTGTCTGATCAAAATATCTCTTCTCCATTTAGTATGAATAACTGACATTTTTCTTGCCAATGTGGAAGCTAACTTAAAGCCTATGGTTTATTAAAGAGTGAATAACATCGTTTATGAACTTCTGGCTTGAATATTGCGGTAGAACTCTGAGATTATATATCTACTTACGGCTGTGCAATCTGTAGCACACATGCTTGCACATCTCCTTAATTTTTTGATATCCAAATGCGTTGTATTCATTTAGAGCAGAAACCATTTTGTTCATGACATTGACACCCGTCATTATTGCAGAGTTACTTTGATTCTGCATTCGCTTTTACCATCAGCAATTAGAATTTTATATAATAATAAGCTCCGCTGCCAACTCCAGGATAACATCCTTCTTTGTACAATCAACTGGAATCTGTCTAACTTTCTCTTGTTTCGTTTTATTGCTTGATATTAATTTGTAACCTAGAGATACTTGATACAATTGCAGGCAGAAAACTCTTGGTCAACACACTGAGTGCAGCAAGTGCAAGCTGGTTCAAGGACAGTTCTGTGGAGATTGCCTGTGCATGAGGTGATAATGAATGAAATCCTCTTATCCCATGTACCAAACGGCCCCTTAATGCCTACAGTATTTTTTCCTCCCATAGATTTTTAAACTTAAGCCTGTTTACTGTCTTTGACAAAATAAAATGGAATTTCCTTTTGGAAGCATACATATGAGGAGGTGCTGCCAATACATTCCCAATGATACTAAGAACACAAGCAAGAATAGCTGTCTTTCACAGTGGATGATTTGTCCCCCATTTTCTGGGACATTTTTTGGTTAATAAGTTATTAAAATGTTTGCGGATCTAATCATTTGAGCTTTAAATTATGTAGGTACGGGGAGAATGTCATTGAAGCAAGTGAAAATCCAAACTGGATTTGCCCTGTCTGCCGAGGAATCTGTAATTGCAGTCGATGCAGGCGCGACAAGGGGTATGCACCAACTGGTTCTATTTATAGAAAGGTGACCTTCATTGGCCTTTTATTCTGAATTCATTCATTTCACTGGGAAGGCAGATATCTTGCCTGATAATCACAAAGGATTCTCTCTCTGTATATAAATAAGTTTGCGTTTAGGGGGAGTGGATTTAAGGGGTTGAAGCATTCAATGCTGTGACATACAACAACAACATACCCAGTATAATTCCACATAGTGGGGTCTGAGAATGCTGTGACATACTTATCAAAAAAAGAAAGAAGAGATTCCTAAGAAAATACACATGTTTCCAGGTAGTTCGTCTTGGTTACAAATCTGTGGCACATTACCTTGTCAAAACTCGACTGCGGAGTGACCAGAAAGACTTAAGCTCTGCGGATTCACCTTCTGGAAAGAGTATATCGCCATGTGCTGAGTTTGCGGATACTCTTTCAACTTCTCAAAGTGACGATAACAAAGATTTGAAGGGGGAAGAATGCCATGATGATGATCAAGAAGAGTCAGCAAGGGAAACAATGATAAAAAACAAGAACGATCTACGCCTGACAGACTGAAAAGGAACAACCACCACATGTAAGCTTGAGTATCAGACTTGATGCAGAAGCTTTAGAAAATATAATATCAACAAAATGCATACTTTTGATCTACAAGGGCTAGAAGTAGTATGTAATCAGCTGCTCGGTTAGAAGGATTAAGCCGTTTTTTCGCTTGGGTATAAACATTTTGCAAGCTTTCCAACTTCCAAGGGAGAAAAGGGCTGTTTTTTGTTATAGTTACTCTGCATCTTTTTTTGATTGCTATTATACATTGGGCACTAACTTAACAGTCTTATTTTCGCCTCAAGAATCCTTCGAAAGAAAAGAGTAGTTTCTTTTGCTTGTTATTAAAAATCATCTGCAGTATAATAATACTAGTTCCAAACCATTCTTGAGTGTTTGTTTTTCTTGAGAAATTAAAGCGATGTTGAATGTAAGTTGATGAGCAAAAAGTTTTTCTTTTCCATTTTTCTCGATACTATAGGTAGAGACATGTCTTGTCTTGCCCATTTACGTATATAGATATTCTTTGCTGAAAATGTGACCTTACGAGCAAGAACTGCAAAATCACTTTCTTAAAGAAAAATTTCATAAACGAGTAATAACTAATGCAAGTCTTTCAATAACAATTGTAATGCAAAAACCACTATGGAATCTGCAGTTCACGTACTATAGGTGAATAATAAAAGAGGAAAGTACATATTTTGGCCTTTTAAAGCAAACATACAGTAATATTACCAATATTAGCCCAACTGGTTATTTGTATGCTTCTCTCTTTTTAGTCTATCTCCTTCCTCTCCCCTTTTCTTCCTCACGTAGTTTACCTGATGTTGTGTCCCCTCTTCACTACAATACCAAATAATTTATCTTTAACATCAAATTAGGATTTCAGAAAAACTAAAGCATGTGGTTCTTTTTCTCCCATTCTCAATTCAGCCGCTTCTTTTAGCTTTATCACTAATTATTCCCTTTCTCGGCCTGATGTTAATCAGATATGTTACTAAATTCATTGCACAAAAATATAATTATATGGCAATAGAATAAAATATCAAATATCCACGTATGTCCTTTTTTGACCAACGAATTCGTATCGGAAAGGATCAAGCCTTGCTATCTCTCTAAAGTTTGATTGTTTGTTTTCCTGTACTATGATATTAAATAGAGACAAAAGTGAATATAAATTGTGTATTTGATCAAGAAATCATTGTTAAATATTAGTTTGTCAGATTGAATTGAAGAATTAAACTGAAAATGCTATTGGAAGCAATTGAATCGCTTAAGCTTGGTTTGAAAATTTCGATTTACAAAAATTAAAATTTATTTTGAATGAGTGTTATTGGAATAGATTAAGAACATCTTAAGAAGTTTAAATCTTAATTTTGGGGAGATTTGAGGTGGCTTGAATTGAAATTTGAGCCAAATTCGAAGTAGAAAATGAACATAGAATAAGATGATGTGTATCTCGAGTGTATCATTCATGTATTCCGTATGTATCAAATTTGTATTCTTTGTGTATCCTCTATATATCCATATATACCTATGTGAGACAAAAGAGAAATTTTTAGACTCGATTTTAACTACGAATTTAGACTCCAAACCAGTTCAACACCTCCAATCTTCTTCAAAATTTATATATTGCGTTTTCAATGAATTCCGAGCATACCAATTGAAAAAAAGTCTAGGTTTTTTTAATATTGTAGACCTTGGAGATGGATGCAAGGCAAGTAAAACCTTGTTTCTTTGATGGAGAAGCTCGTTTATTAGGACGAGTTAAAGGAGGACTGCCCAACTCGATCATGAGGACTAAAAGGACTAAGAGATTAAAAAATTGATTTTTAGGAATGGACACTAGTGATTGCCATTAATTCATAGCTTGAGAAATTGTGAAGTAGGTTTAGTGATCTCTATGTTCGGCCTTTGGCATGCATTGTCTGCGCTCGATCGTGCAGTTTAGATATCGGTTGCTTTTGTGATTTTCATCATGTTCAGATATACCAGTTAATCGTTTAACAACGAGCAGTAATAGGTGTATATATGCAAAGAGTCAGATGATTTCACTTCTCATTTCAGCTGCACTTATAATTCCATATTATAATAGGAAATTCTGATTTCAACCATTCCCTGCTTTCCTTTCCCTTACTTCCCTTTTTGAACTAAACATAAGATGTAAACAAGAAAAGACCATACATGTTTCACAAATTGCCACAAAACAGATAGAAAATTCTAATTTTATTTTCCTGGTTTCAGATGCTAGACATTGCCTATGAATTCATGTTGACTCCCAGCACTTATATATATATGCCAAAATCAAGAATCTGTAGATCATTTGGCACTTATAATATAACAAATGCATCTTTATTAATAACCTGCATTGAATGTGGACATATATATGTCAATAGATGAATTAAGTTTCTTTAAGGTGAGGGAGAGGAATCGAACATGACGATAGCCATAACAATAGTATTAAGAAAGATGAAAACCTTTTAAATACGAAAAGAAAGACTTGGAGGGAAAAAACTGGATTCAGAGCGTTTTATAAGGAGGTTGACTAGTTTGAACCTTAAAATGGTCAACTTCCAAGGAAAGCTTCCCTTTTGAATTTTCTCACTTGTTTATTAAGGCTTTTCTAGTTTCCATCAGAGATTGACCGATATTTTCCCCTTAATTTTCTCTCTGTTACTTATTTTTCGTCCTCTTTTTGCTTTCTCTTTGTGCTTTTTTTTTTTTTTTTTTTTTTTTTTT